TTTTTTTTTTTTTTTTTCTCTTTTCATTTTCTTCTGTTTGTGTGTGTGTGTGTGTGTGTGTGTGTATGTTTTTTGGTCTTTGGTTTTGTGCAGGTTTTTTTTCTTTGTTTTTTTTTTCTTGTGTGTGTAGTGTTTTATTTGGGTTGAGTCTTTTTGGGTTTTAAATTTTTTTGTTGTTGTTGTGGGTTTGTTTTTTTTTCGTGCTTGTCGTCTTTTATTTCGGACTTAATTAAATTGTTTTGGGTGTGTGTGTTTGGAGTTTGTTTGTTTTGCTTTTGGGATTTTTTACTTTGTACGAATTTTGTTGTCGGTTTGAGATTTTTTGTGCGTGTGGGTTTTTTTGCTTATTTGGAAACTTTTTTTTGTTTGGATTTTAGATTCCAGTCTTCCCAGGTGAGGAGACAGAAGGAGGAAGAAAAATGAGACCAAAAAATCAGAAAAGAGCTGCTGGCAGCGGTGGGATTCGAACCCACGCCCCCGAAGAGACTGGAGCCTTAATCCAGCGCCTTAGACCGCTCGGCCACGCTACCCGGATAACAGCTCCCCGCGAGCCTTCATCTGCTGGCTGCTTCCTTCCTCATCCTCATCCCTGTCTTCATGCTATTTATTCCCTTCTTCATTCCATCCTCACTGCTGTCTCCATTCTATCTTCATCCTCATCCCCATCTCTGTTTCATCTCATCCCATTTTATCCCCGATCTCCATTCTCATCCTCCTCTCTATCCCATCCTCATTTCCCATCCCTAGTCTTCATCTATAAACTCCATCTCTATCCCATTCCAAATCTCCATCCTCATCCCCACTGCTCTAATTCGGTAAAACCTCATGAAATTTGACTTTTGTCACATTTTCCCGCATTGTCAGCTGCACTCCCAGGTCTCTGTGGCGCAATCGGTCAGCGCGTTCGGCTGTTAACCGAAAGGTTGGTGGTTCGAGCCCACCCAGGGACGTGGCGGGGGCTTTTTTTCCTTTCCCTCCCTGCAGTCATTAGTGAGCTGTTAATTCAACGAGCTTCACTTGTCCTGAGCAGGCCCCTTCCCTTGGCCTGGGGGCTCTGTTTAAGCTCCATCCTGGGAGTTTGGTCCTTCCACCTTGGAGCAGCATTGGGGGGTGCAGCATTGGGGGATTTAATTGATGTAAATGGGGATAAATCTCCCTCACTGATGCCAGGGGGAGCCTGAGGGGTGTGATGGTCTCCTCATATCTTGTCTCTGCTGCTACCAGTGAGAGCTAGACCTCTGTTTTTGAGCTGGAAATGAACCTGGAGCTGCTCCCCTCCAGCTATGTGGAGTCAGAGGTGGAAGGGCAAGTTGGAATTTTATGGGAGCTGGGATGAATTACAGGCCAAGCAGCTCAGTGACCACAATGAAGGTTGGCGTGGTGCTCTCAGCAACCAGTCTGGTGTTTCCTTTGGACATTTATCATTATCCTGTCAATAATCTTGTCCAAAAAATCCCACCTGCAGCACAGATGGAGTTTCCAAGTCTACAGAATTTAGGACAATTACTAGCGAGAGGAGAAACTCCAGCAAAACCTTGGATTTGCTATGAAGATTCAGAATGATTTATTTGATATACTTGGATCAACTTGGAATCGGCCATGCTTTAGGTAGTAGAGACATGGATCAGATCCTGACTGGTGCTGTGGGGAATGGTTAATTACTTAACAGGAATTAGTATTGATTAATTAAGTAGTTGTGTTGGACCAGTCAAAGGAGAGGATGGTGAGGAAGCACTGGGTTCTCTCTCAGATTCTGGGGTAGGGGAACTGAGAGTGACGCTCCCAAAGGGCTGGAGCATGGTGACGCTGTTTATATGTGATGACACTGCCCTCAGACAAGGAAACCAGAAATTCCCACCTTTATTTCACCTTAGTCATTCCATGAAGTGCCTTGAGTGCAAATGAACTGGGAATGGCAGTGGACAAGGGAAACAGGAGAGTCCCGGAGCCCACTGCCTGGTTTTAGTGCTCCCTCCTACCCCCATGAAGTGTTTATAATTCTGATTACTATTACTATTTCAACGTTCCCTCTTCTCCCCATGACATGTTTAACCACTTTGGTCCTGCTTCAAGACATGCAATTCTTTGACACCTTCACTGCCAATGAATTCTGCTAATTTCTCTTGGAAAGAACCAGATTCACACCACCAAAAGATGGCTGAGGGCACGCTCAGAGCTCTTCCCTGTGCCCAAGTCTCCCAAGCAACTCCCTGTCTGTTGCCAGGGCTTCATTACTGTCATGGTGGATGTTGCTGCTGGCCCTGATGGCCGATTTCATGGCAGTGTCGATCCAGGCGTGGGGCTGGGCTGTGTGTTCCCCGGCAAAGTGGACCCGGCCCTCGTGAGCGAACAGGGCCTGCGAGTAATCCACAAACTGGTACGGGGTGAAGGCAGCAAAAGCCCCCAGGGAGTGTTGGTCCAGCTGCCACTTCTGGATCACATGCTGGTCACAGGTGTATTGCAGGTACTCCTTGCTCACCTGGTGGATGTCTGCCAGGTCTTGGAGCACCACATCCAGGCACTTCTCTTCTGTGAGGGGCAGGAAGAACTCGGCATCATTGTTCCAGGTGTAGGAAGCCAGGATGATGCCCACCCCACTGGAGAAGTTGTGGCTGGGGTAGTAGATGAAGCGGGAGGGGCGGTCAGTGATGGAGTACCCTCCGTGGATCCTGTCCTTCTCCCAGAACTTCTCGGAGCATGCCAGGATAATTTTGGAGGAACTTGCATAGTTGATGGAGCGCAGGGCATGGGCCTTGGCAGGGGACAGTGGTGGCAGGAACTGGATGTGCCTGGTAGCTTTGGCACTGGAGGTGACAAGGACATAATCTGCAGTGATGATGGTCGGGGCCAGCGTGTCCAGAGCACGGTAGAACACTCGGACTTTGTTGCCCTTTGTCATGATCTTCTCCACAGTGCAGTTGAACTGGATGACGTTGGGCAGCGCCTTGTGGAAGGCTCTGGGCAGTTGGTCAAACCCTCCAGTGATTTCATCAAAGCTGGAAGAGAGGGGAAACGGGAGGTGTGTGAAGGACGCTGGGGTTTAGGGGGTGTAAAAACCGGAGCTCTTCTGGAGACACCAGTGGAGCTTGGAGGCCCCATTGAGCCTCAAGTGGTTCCTGTTTGGAATCGCTCTGACGTTTCCTGTTATGGGAACAGGGTTGGGCTGGAGGGACAGCACTCACCTCTCTTCAGAGAAGATGCTGAAGTCCCACAGTGAGGCGAGGAAGGACAGGTAAAACCCTGAGTCCTCATTCAGCAAGTCACCGATCATCTCAACAGCTCCTCGGCTCAGCCCCCCCACCTTGATCAAATATTCCTGCAGGTCCCAGGAGAAGAGACACAGCCAGAGGTTGCTACCTCAGTTAGGGTTCTTCTGGAGCTTTCTCAGCATTTCTTTCTCAGCATTTTGTAAGTAGAAGGGGTCATTTATCAGGGAAAAGCATCCAAAAGGTGACAGGATGGGGTTAGAGTGACACAGACAGGCCCTTCTCAAAGCAGGGAGAGCAGGTTAATTATCAAGAGCTGGGATTAAATTTGCCCTCGAGCCCAAGCCCATTACCTTGGTGGAGAAGGAGTCGTGTTGAGCCAGATACTTCCTGCAATCAGTGGTCTGGAACTTCTTTAAAGCCTGGAGAAGAAACACTGATATTTTCATGGGAAAAAAGATCAGTTTCCCAAAGTGCTGCCCAAAATTGTCTCAGGATTTTAGGGTTTGGTAAGCCCTGGAGCTTCTGGACATCGAGTTTTGAGCAGCTGTGCCTTGGTATGGCATTTTCTGCTCATCCAAATCCTGGTGGACTCCTTCCAAAGGATTTCTTGTGGACAAAGAGGGGTTTTGCAACCATCTGTCCTTGTTTCTCAACAAGCCTCCTTGATTTTCTCTCCAAAAAGACCCTGTTCTGCCCCAACTGAGGGCTGAGTCTTCCCCAGTTCATGGCCAAGTCTTCTCCAACTCCTGGCCCAGTTTTCCCCAACTCATAGACAAGTCTTTCCCACCTCATCCTTCAGGTGAGGGAACACCACACGAAAATCTTGTACCTTGTTCAGTACCTCCTGGTACAGTTGGACGGCACTCTTGCCCCTCTCTGATGGCTTCACTGTGTAATTCAGGATGTCAGGGTTCCTGTTTACCTCCTCAGCCCTGACCCGAGCACCCTTCAGGAAGTACCAGGTGTTGTTGTCCCTCTGGATGAAGGGATTCAGCTTCAGGTTGAACTGGCGGATGAATTCACGGACAAGCCTGGGAAAAAGGCAGAGCGATGGTGCCATGAGCCAACAACCAACCCCCCAGCTCTGCCACCAAAGCATTTTGTCTCTTTAGCATGGATGCTGAACCCTGAGGAAGCGATGGGGATGATTCACTCCCCAGACTGGGCTGGTCCCTCACCTGACCGCAGGGGTGGACAGGCCCTCACCTGTGCTTGCCTGGCAGGCGCATGGGTCCCAGCTCCACATACCAGTCCTGTCCCTTGGGGCGGTACGTCCGGATGCGCCCCCCGACCCAGCCGCTCCTTTCCAGAACGGTAACCTAAAAAATTGGGTGGAGATTGGAAGTGGTTGAGAAATGTCTTGTTTGAAGTGAAACACCCCCAAAACAAGGTCCAGATGGTGGGACAGACCCCGTTCAGATGGCAAATGAAGGACCTGTAGATCCAAACCCTTCTCTGTTGGCCGAGACACCTCTGCCTGTGGGGCAGCTTCTCATTTCCCAGCTCCTGGGTTGCATTTGGACACCAGCTCTGGTGAGGTTCTCATGGTGTTTCAGGGTCAAACAGGGCTTTGAAAGCAGCACCAATCTGTCCCTCCATGCCCTGGAAACCCTCTTTGAGACTCATAGGTGCTTTGGGATGGTTTGGAAACCCCTGGAAATTCTGTTGCCTTAAAGACAGAATGCAAAGGGCTTGTTTGACTTGCAGGAACAAATGTCAGGGGAAATTATTGAAGACAAATCTCCTTCTGTTCCTTCTTCCATCACTGTGGTCGACTCACTGCATTTCCTTTTCCCTCACCAGCCTGGAAGACCTCTAGAGGAGGGAAACAAGCCTGGGAGAGCCTTGTGAAATTCCCACCGTGTGCCCAGCGTCCTGGAGCAGCTTGGCTGCTGTCAGCCCGCCAATCCCCGCGCCCACCACGACCACGTGCGCCGGGTGAGCTGTGGGCTCCAGCCCATCCTGGACGATCTTCAGCAGCTCCTCGTAGTCCTGGTCATGCAGACAATACTCGGGAAAGCATGGGAACCGCTTGGCACTCAGGAGACCCGCAAGCAGGAGGATTTGGAAGAGCACTGGGGAGGGAAGAAGAAAAGAGAAGGGAATAACACGGCGTTGGCACTCACGGTCATTCCAGATGGTACAGACTGGTCCAAGGATGTTGGTATCCAAGACCTAAAAAGAGGAACTGGGGTGGTTGTGAAATACCAGGCACCAGCAGGTCCACCATGGAAACTGTCAAGAGAGGTCAGTGATGGTGGTTCCTGTTTTTTAGGAGAAATCAACCCGTAGATGATTTTTTAGCTCTCCATATTCATATTCTGCTTTTACAGCTGCTGTGGTGAGTTTCCAAAATGACTTTGACCTCCTTAGAATAAGCTCCAAAGCTTCCAAGAACAGTAATTAGTGTCACTCATGTGCAAAGAATCAAGGTACCTTGTTGTCCCCAGTGACCTTTCCCATACTTGGGCAATTCGGGGAGTTTTTATGTGAAGGGTGGAGGGAAAAAGACAGGATTGGGCAGATTGATCTGATGAAGACTTGTACAGGACAGATGGAGACAAAATTTCACTGAAAGATGGATGAATTAGGGGGATGAAGAGAGATGGGATTTATCTTCTTTAAAATTCCCTAATTAAAATTTTTCTACCTAATTTTAGAGAAGAAAATTTTACTCTCCTTTAATATCCCCTCTTTTTAAAAATTCCTCCCAATTTCAAATTCTCGCCTTCAAAATTATTGTGTCTTTGAGACATCTACAGGGAGCAGCAAACAGACCCAAAATGACCATTTCCACCAGAACAGACACAATGCTATTTAACATTTTCACAGTGAAAGAAAATTTGAGCTGAGAACCACACTCTGTCCTGTTCCCCGCCCCTCCTTGGGATTTTCCTAGTTTTTGTCTCTGTTTTTCAAAATAACCGAAGAACAACTTCCATTTTCTTTTCCTTCTCCCGAGTGCTGCCAATTTTCTTTCAGGGAAAAACAAGAAGCTTTGAAAACCCAACTTTGGGTAATTCACACTGCTGGAAAATCCCTGAGAACTGTGAGGGTTTTTTTCTGGAGCATCCCCAGATCCCCTGGTGGGTCTGCCAGGAAGCCACCTTGGAGCCTTTATCATTCAACACCTGAGGCAGGTGTTTCAACAGCTCCTTAAGCTGATAAGACGAGTATAAAAAATATTTAGGAAGGGTCTGTTCCAGTTGTTCTGTTAACAGTGGGATAAGGTTGGATTGATCTGCCCTGATCACAGAATCATCCCGGTTGGATTGGAAAAAAACTATGGACCATTTTTAGGAGATCAGAGCAAATACCCTGGGACCAGATCTTGGAGGTGTCGACTGGATCTCCACCTTCCATCAGGTGTTTTTTTGGGAAGATGTGGAGATACCACCAACTTGGAGCATGGAGGCATCCTCTGGGATGGCCCTCAGAGACTCCAAGCTTGTGCCTGTGTTTCCTGAAAAATCAGGATCATCCCATGCCCCAGATTTTAAGGGAGGTCTCCTTCCCACAATGTCCGCAGCTCCAGGTGACCATGGAATAGTCCAGCTGGAAAAAGGGAGGTTTGTGGCTATGCTCTCAGGAGGTGGCAAAGAGGTGGAACCAGATGGAACCAAAACACCAAACCCAGCCACCAAAGATGAAAGAAAACCAGGAAAAAACCCACAGAGAGCTCAGGGTTGAGGGGAGGAGTCACTCACCAATCCCAGTCATTGCTCCAGGAGGAAGATGAATCCTCTGCTGAGATTGGAATTCATTTTATACCCCAGCTTAAGGGAAAAAAAACCAAAAGCAATCTGGTGCTTCAAGAAAAACCTCTGCCAATCAGTACAACCCGGAAGGGAGCGAAGTGGGATTTGTCATTAGAAGGGGAACCAGCAATTGACTAGGCTTAGTTTCACTGCTGGGTTTTTGTTTTTTTTCCCCTTTACTCACTGGAGTAAAGCCATGAGGCCACTGCATGTTTTGGGATGTACCATGTTGACCGCACCCTGCTCCACCAAGGGCAGCAATTTCCCAGAAGGGAACAATCAGGCTAGGGTATTTTTCCTGGTATTGCATAAAGCCCGCTGAAATCTGAATAACCATCACGGGGATCCTTCTGAACCCTGGCGAGATCTTGAGCTGGCATTCAAAATATAATTTCAAGAATGAAAGTGAGCATTTCTAGGGAAAAGTCACCTACTGGATGCTCTTGTGTGTTAACAATTTTGGCTTGATCTTCTCTCCATCAGAATAGAGGGGATGAAGAACTGTTTGTGTGGGAAGGAGACCTTAAAGATTATCCAGAACTTCACTGAAATGGCAAAAACTGGGTATTTTTCTAGGACTGAGACCAGCATTTTTCCAGAATGGAGATCTTGGACTTGCCAAAGCACCATAAACTCATCCGAGGAACCCTCTCTTTGTTCTTGGACCGAGAGCTCGAGTCTCCTGCTTGGAACCAACACCCTCACCAGGCTTTATCCTGTTCAATCAGCACAAAAATGTGGGTTTTCACTAAATATGATTATAAAATATCTCAGGATGGAGGAACATTCAGTCCAACAAAATTTAGGTAGAATTTTGGAAATTCATGGCAAGGGTTTTGCAGATTGCATTTATGGGATCTCCTGGTTTAGCTGGAATTGTGACATGAAAATTGTGGGCTTGTGGTGCCGTGTTCAAGGGATCTCCTCAGGAGAAGCCATGATATGGGTTTTGCCCAGATTTTTGCTTTTCTGTGGAGTGTGGGGGTGGTTTTGTGCTTCCTGCAGGATTCCCAATACCATGTTCCTGGTTGTGCTGTTTTGAAGGTAAACCAGTGGGGGAAATTAACCGCACACAAATACCTTGGGAGAGATTTTAAGTCATAGTTATAATTTTATAGAAAAATTACAATAAATGCAATGAATACAAGAAAATTACTTAAAACCACAAAGTCAGAGTACAGCCTGGCCCCGTGAGTCGGGGTGGTGGTCACAGTCTGATTAAGCAGTAATCAGTGCTTTGGTTGAAGTGACGGTTGCAGTCCCTGTGGAACTTGTGGCCCTCCTCTGGTGGTGGTGGTATCTCAAGTACTTAGCCCTTGAGGTTACATGCGGTCAGATTCAGGGGGCACATCCCCCAGGATGGGAAGTTTCACGATGCATTGATGCAATCCTGTGAGTCACAGGATGTTTTTGGGACCCTTGATGTTTCTTGTAGCTGTGAGTTCATGATGGCAGGGAAGACTTCTTCCAAAGGGGTGTCACTGTGCTGTCTTGGTTAAAATTGGGTGACAAACACCTTTGGAAGACTTCCTTCTAAGGAAAACGAAAGGACTGAAGGTTTTTCTTGGTTTTTTCTTTTGTCTTGGAGCATGTCTCCATTTAAGAAAACCTACCAGTGGGATTGGAAAAAGGTAAAACTGTAATTTTTTTGGGAAGAAACCCCTTGGTTTGGGTCTGGTTTTATGTTTTGTGATTTGTGGTCTGCTGGTTGTTCCCCTGTGGGGGGAACTTCCCCCACATATTATATACGTGAACTTCCAAAACCACATATTTTCTCTATCTGGAATAACAAATCCTGAGGGATGTGGGCATTGCACAATGAAACTGGCACAGATACACATTCCCAGGAACAGCAGAGAGTTTGGAGTGAAGGCAGCTGGTTTCACATTGATAACATGGATTAATTCACATTAAGACATGGATTAATGCGTGTCCCAACAAGCTGCTTTTGAGATCAACCTCAATGATGGGATTTATTTTCTGGGCATCAACAGTCTACCAGTTGCAAAAGTTGTCCCTCCCAACTTCCTGCTCCCATCTGTTGATTCCCTGAAGGTTACAGGAAGGTGAGTTTCTGCCTGACATCTGTTGCATCACAAAGCAGGTGATTAGAGGGTGGGAGAAGGGTTCGTGATTTCTTTCCAAATTGCTGTTTTCTGGTTTTAAGGTTGACTTTTATTAATGGAAGAAGTGGGGGGAAAAAAGTGGGATTTCATTCTACATGTTGTGTGGGACATCATGCATGTGTTGGTGAGCACTCGGAATGGAGGAGGGTTTCCCTGTGGAGATGAAAAATGTAAAGCACACCAAAGAAAATCCCGGGTGGATTTATTAATGAGGTAATTATCCTTAATGAGTCTCTGGGCCGGCAGGCACAGGTTGGAGAGGTGTGGGCAGGTCCTGTTGAGGAAAGATGCCCTTTCAAAACATTTTCTTGTCCTTCACTTCCTGCTTGCCCAGAGGATTCCTAGGATACACCTGTTGCATGCACTCGTGTAACTCCGAGGCAAAACTTTTGGGACTGGGGGGATAATTCAAGAAATGAATGCACCAGGGAGGAGTTTCTTGGATTAAACTGTCCAAAATCGGGGTTCTCCTCATGAGAAGGATGGGGAGCTGACAGAGGAAGTCCAGAGGAGGCCACGGCAACGCTCCCAGGCTGAGGAAGTTGGGGTTCTTTTGGAGAACTGAAGGTTCCTTATTGGGGTGAGCTTACTGGGGCTTCCAGTGTTTGAAGAGAGTGGATATGACAGGGACTTTTTTTTATCAGGGATAGGAAAATAAAAAAAGACAAAAAATTATATTTTATAAAGAGCTTTTAGAAAAAATGTGTGACAGAAGTGGAATGTGAATCCACGCCTCCATTTGGGGACGAGAATTCACACAGCAGGGATAGCAGGGCCTTGGGTCTGATGCCTTAGGCCACTCAGCCATCCTGATGACGCCAGGAACCTTCTTCACCCTCATCATCCTCGAGGATCCATCTTCTCAGCACTTGGGCTTCCCTGCTTCCTTTGCAGCCCCCCCTTCCCAATTTTATTTAGTTTTCCCAGCAATAAACCTCTTCCCAAGCTTTTTTCTACTCTGAAGTGGTGTGGGGTGATGGGAAGAGCAATTCTGGATCTGCTGGCCCCTGCAATTGCTCCCTGGTGGCTGCTGGAGCCTTTTGGGGACCCTGAGGATCCGGGGGCTCTTCCTGCCCCAGCCTGGCAGATTAGGGGTATTTATCCCACTACTTTTATTCGTGGCATTGTTATAAGCAGCTCACCTGGAGTTTTGAGGGGAGAAAACCCACTTACCAGGAAAACACCATCAGGGCTACTTTTCCAGGTAAAAACCACGAATTTCTTCCTGCCTGCTGCTGATTTGGAAACAGCAGTGTCCCCCCTCTCACCTGGGGGGGATTCCAGCGAAACCCTTCCACATTCCCAACACCATCCGTGATCCATCCGTGGTCCTGCTATCCCAATCTCCCTGGCACAGCTTCCAGCAGGGTCCTCAGACCCTCCGGGTACCAGCCGGGGAGACAAGGCGGGTGACAGAGCAGGAGGATGGGGGGCTCGGCGGCTCCCCGCGTTCCCACAGTTCCAAAGGGTCCACGGGAGGTTCGGAGACGGGTCTGGGATTACTTTACCTCTAGAGGGCTCTGGGTAAGCGCAGCTGCGTCTTGGCCTCTCCTCTCCCGGATACCGTCTTGGGCTTCCGGAGCGGAGCTGTGCTCGGCATCGCCTCCATTGTGTCCTGGTGGGGAGGCTTTGTGGTCCTGGGGTGCACGGGGGGGTCTGGGCATCGCCCCCTCCCTGCAGCCTCAGCGTGGGAACGGAGGGCGCTTCTCCTAAGGAAAAGCCTTGTGGAAGCAGCTGCAGGCTCGGCTGGCAGCCGAGGAGCCGGAGACGGCAGGTAACGGGGCGAAAGGGGAGCAGGAATGCGGTTCGGCTCCCGGCGCGGCTGGAGACGGCCGGGGGGATGTTCCCGGCAGCAGCAGCAGCTCCTTTGTGGAGAGAACAAGGGATAGGCAGGATGGGGACTTAGCCCTGGGCTCCGCGGGCATGGGGATGCTCCTGGGATACGGCCCGCAGGGCCCCATCGCTGATTCCCGGTGGCACGGGGAGTGGAGGAAGCGGGAGGCAGAGATTGCTGTGGATGGGGTCTGCCAGAAAGGCGGGGGGAAAGCAGAGACCCTTCTGCCCCGCTGTTCCCGCGTTGCTCTGGGGGCGCTCAGGATTAGTCCTGGACGGAGGCACGGTGAAAAGCCGACATTCCTGGAAGTGACCACAGGAAAAGCATGAAATCTCGAGTAGGAGGCGCTGTGGGGGGATTTCCTTGATTTCAAGGGATTTCTCCTCCCTGCAGGGGATTTTGGGGAGCCCCGAGGGAGCAATCTGCACTGTGCTGGTGCTCCCTCCTGCCATGGAGCCGTGGGTGCTGCTGGATCCGCGGCAGAAGGCCCTGTACCTTGACGTGATGCACGAGAGCTACGAGACCCTCATGTCCCTGGGTAAGGAAGCCCCGAAAATCTCTTTCCTTGTTGTATATCCCCCTATCATTTCCTTGCTCCGAGAAAAGCAGTTTGGGAAGAGGGGCGGAGGAATCTGGGCAAGTTTCCAGGGGGATTTCTCCAAGCCCCAGCCCTCTCCTTAATTCTTTTTCTTCAGGAAAATGCTATTGATCTCTCCTAATTTAAATTGAAAATTCTGGCACTGGAGTGCCCTTGGCATCTCCACATTTCCAGTTCAAACTGGTATCAGGTCCCTGTTGTATTTCTCTTCCTCCTCTCTGGGAGAACAAGATTTTTAAGGGGAATCCTGTTGTTGCTCCGCTGTTTTAAATCCTACCCCTCTCCAATCAGGGCCATGCCCTTTCCCTCTTTCACCCGCTTCTCAGAAGCTCAGAGGATGGAGAGTGAAAAAGTGAAATTTTTTGGGAGAATCCTGTTGCTACTCCATTGTTTTAAATTCTGCTCCTCACGCTTTCACCTTTTTCTGCTTCTCCCCTTTCCCAGCAGCTCAGGGGCTGGTGAGTGAAAAAGCAGCGGAGAACAGAGCATTGGAGAGCG